TCTTTTGCTTCATCCTCAAATCTCTGATCATTCTTTCTTAACATTTCTAATTTTTGGGCTAATTCTTCTTGTAACTTTGCATTCTTTGTAATTTCCTCTTCAAGCATTTTATCAGACTTTTGCAACATTAATGATTTTTGTTTGATTTCATCATTCAAAAGACCTTTTTGTCAGTTTTTTCATTCTTCAGCCTTATTTATTGCTTCAGCTAAGTCTTTAGAACTTTGTTCTAATTTTTCAATGACTTCAAAGACAACTTTATTTAATTCTTTCTCTGTTCTGCTTGTTAAATTTTTTAATTCTCCTAAGTCTCAATTATGAAATTGATCTTCTCAAGAAACATTATCAATTTCTTCTTGCTCCTCATGTCAAACTAACAAAATTTCTGTAAGCTTTTTTTCTAAATCTTCAACTTGCTCTTTATACTTATTCAAATCTGCTATTTTCTTTTTATACTCTCTCTTTTGTTCAGTAAGTTGATAACCTCTTTTACTTCAATTTGAAATATAACTAGAACAACTTGTAGCTAATTCTTTTGAACTGTCAATGAATTCATCTAACATTTCTTCAATAGTGATGTTGTCAAAATAAATTCTTTTACAACCTTTGGCTCATTCCCTAGTTTCATTAGGATCTACTGCTCATCTAAATTTGCCTTCATCCATTCACTTTTTGTTTAGATTTTTGTATCATCAATGACCAGAGACATAACTATTTTCATCAGGTTGACCAGTAAGGTGTCAAATTTTTAATTTAAGTTCTTCTATTGATTGTTCTCTTTCTTGATCTTTATTGGCTAACTGCTTTTCTAAATCAGCAATTTTGTTTAATAGTTCTTTATTTGCTTGTTGCTGTTCATTGATTATGTTTTTCATGATTTTTGTTAATTATATTCTTCAATTTTTAATAAATACTTAATATCTTTCTTTTTATAAAAGCATTATTAAGTATATAATTATTTTATTAGTTTATTTTTAAATTTTCTATTCATTGTCAGCATAAATTGGTTTTGGACAAGTAACATCTTTAAATTCATCCCTTACAAATGGACGAATATTATTATAAAGGTATTCTTGCCTTTTGTAATCCAAAGGAGGTGGTGTTAACACTAAAATAGATAAAGCTCTAATTTCTTCAAAAATATCTGTTCTCCTAATTTTTAATAAATCAAATTCAACAAAAGAACCATTAGCAACTTCTTGAACTTTTACTGTACCAAGATTAGATGCTTCAAAAAGAAAATGTTGATATTTTTGCAAACCATTTAATTTCTTAAAATAAATTCCCAAAATAGCTTTAATATCCAAGTATTGAAAACCTTTTCCACCTTCATAACATTGAGCTTTATTTAATCCTGCTGGGCTAGACTTTTTGATCATCTCAATCACATGATCTAGACAATCTACTCTTGTTCTTCTGTAAAGTTTTTTTATTAAACCAAAGCTACCGTCACATTTGAATTTAGTATGTTCTGGAATCATAAAATTCAATTCAATACTTTTATAATAATCACAAATTACTAGATACAAATAAAATCAAATTGTTACATTATTTTTATTTTGTCCCCCAGCATTATCACAAGTAATCTTTAAATGATTTTCACCTTTGTTCAATTTCTTAATTCCATCAAAGATCATACTAAGTGTGCCATTTGGTCCTTTTCCTATAATTTCATTTTCATTAAGAACATAATTAATTTGTTCCTTTACTGCTTCATCTTGAATACCAAATAAATGAACTTTACATGGACTAAGGTAATAAATTTTACTTACTTGTTGATCTAAATGTGGCACATGAACATTTTGGGCTCAATCATAACTATAATGAGCAGTGACATCAATACTACAGTATTGTGTCTTACCCTTGGAATAATCTTGATTAATCAATTTTCTTTGCTCTTCTGCTAATTTAGTATTTTTATTATAATAATTTCTTTCTAATCTTACCTTAGACAAATGTTCTTTAAACCTTTTGAGCAAATCTTTAGCTTCTTCTTCTTGGCGAGCATTGTAATGTAAACCATCTCTAAAGTGTTGACAAGTATCACACAAATCAGTTCTTGAACTCATAATTTGAATTTCTAGTGTCAATTGATGTCATAATTTTCTGAATGCATCATATTTTAAGGATTTCAAATTATTATCTTCTTCTAGACCAGCCAGAAAATCTTTGTGAACTGATTTATAACTCATTTCAGCTGGTAAAAATATAACTGATTGGGTTATTCTATTGATACTTCTGCCTGGACTTGGTAATCCATAGACTTCTGCATAATTTTCCAGAAAATTCTTTACTACTTCTGCAACATTTTTATCAATCATCATTTTAGTTTTTCACTGAGGCATTCTTTTAATATTGCCATGAATTCTTGGCAGGAGGCCATTGTTTATCAAATGATTTCTAATATTTTCAAAATAAGTTCTACCAATTCCTAACATATTGAGATAAGTTTCTTGACAAAGAGGTGTATCATGATCCCAATGGTAGAAAGTTCTTTTATTAGATCTAGTTTTCTTTTTAAGGCGTCTACTAGTGCTTATTGATCCACCATCCATTGCTTTAAGTTAAGCCATTAAAAATATGTCTTGTTCTGTTTTAGAAAGAGCTTGAAAGGATTCTCTTAATTCTGCAAATTGTTCCTTGGGAATTCTTAAAGAGCAACCACAATTACATCCCTTTTCTAAAAAATCAATTGCTTTCTGATATTCATTAGTACCATTATATTTATTATTATTTTTCATATATACCTATCCCTATATATAATTTTATAATTTCATGTTCACTTTGTAGGTTTTCATTTATTTTAAATTGAAATTGGTCCTGTGGTGACAAGCAAAGTGGGCAGAAAAGAATTAAATTTGAGTGGATCTGCAAATAAATATCAGAAATATATATTCAACAATTGATATAAAAGAGAAATAAAAATCTTCAACTGGTTCTATGAAAAATAATTATGTTAGATTTAAATTATTTATTATTACTAAAAAATGGATAAGATAAAATCATGGAAATTATTATCTTAAAAACTGGGACTTAATTGGTCATATTGTCACTAACTATTTGAGTTGGGAGAGCATTTATAGTTAATTGCAAATGAAATAGATTTTTAATATAAATCAGAATGAAGTGGGATTTATGCCAGCAAATGACTTTGGTTTGTGATTTGGATTCAGTCGAAGCTATAGATCTTTATTATTTATTTATCAAGCCACTGTCTGTTTTTAATACATAAAAATCCGATTGCTTAAACACATATCATTTAATTATATGCTCATTGCTTTAAACGCGATTTCTAGTTATAAACAGTGTTTGCTATTGTTACCGGAACTCGAAATTGATGCGGATTTCTTAGCCGCAGCCCTATAATTTCGAATTTATTTATTTTTATTTTTATTTATTTGTATTTTATCTATTTTTAATATTATTTATTTCTATTTTATTCAATTCTATTTTCATTATCTATTTATTTAATTAATTATTGTATGAATCATCTGTATTCCGTCATAATTATTATTTATTAATTCGTAACACGTTATCCATTATTTATTTACCTTTATTTAGTGACGATGAGTCATTTTCTGACTCTTGGGCCAGAAAATGGCCAGAAAGTCCGAAAATGACTCTCAGGCCATTACACAGAAAGTGCGGGAAAGTCAGAAAATGGCCAGGAAGTCAGAAAATAACTCTCTGGCCATATCCGGATTATTAATTAATTAACATGTATATAAGCAGCTTGAATTCAATGTACTTTAAAAGTAGTTTCGTAGGGTTTTGGTAGTAGTTTAGAAGTTAGAAATAACTTAATTAGTTTCGACTAAATAAATAAATCAAAACGTTTATCTTCTTAAACCAAAATTATTCGCTAATCTAAACTAATTCGTTAGTAACCTTATTCATTCTGATCCACAAAAACTTAATAAATAATTGTTATCATCAATTTATTCACGCTCTCCCAACTTAATTGATGACACTATCATACAAAATCTTGATTCACGCACTATTTACAATTTTAAACACGAAATCCTACTCAAAAAGTATTCTAACCATATATACTGTATATATATTGTATAAAAAATAAAATAAATAAATAAAAAGAAGCAAACAACAATGTATTGCACTTGGTGCCCTTTATATAGCACAAGTGATAGGAAATACCAAGAAATCATAATATATTACAAGATTTATATGTAATATTTGCCTATTTTCAGTATTTATTATTATTGTAAAATCCTTTAAATGTGGGTAAATAAAAAAAAATATATATAAATATATAATATTGCTAATTTTCCTCCCTCTGATTGTTGTTTATCCATCTCAAATATTAATAATGACATACTATTTTAATATTACAATGTTAGGAATTATTATATAGTACCTAAAAGTTAAAAGTCCTTGTCAGGCAAGGTTCTAAACAAAAATCGAACTATAAAGGATTATTGGTATTGTATTATTTTTGGTGTGATACTATAAAATCACATTACTCAAACGGTCAGCAAGTAATATTCAATGAGAGGTTACACATATCAAAACGCGAAAACGCGAAAAAATGTTATTTTAAGGAGCCCATTTTAAAAAATTTTTTTAATAAACATACGAAATTATTATTATATGTATGAAAAAGAAGCGTTTATTTATTTATTAATAGTAATAGCCAGAGTTATTTTTCGTATTGATACTTCTTTTTTTTTTTATACAGTAACCTAAATATCTTACATAAACGTGGAGTGATAACGATGGGTAACTATACAAAATATGATTGTTTGCATTTGCGTTATTAATACATGTACTCTTGCAATTTAAGTAAAAATTTTTTTTTTGTTTTCCATTTTCTCATATCTACTACCAAAGAAAAATCTATACTGTGGAGTACCTATTTCGACACAACACAGCCAAAAAATTACAATTTTCTAGGTTTTTACGAGTATCGATCAGGGCAATTCGATTTCACCTTTGTATTCAAAAAGGAGTCATATAAATTGAAAATCGATCTTACTAATCTGATGAAGCATGGTTCGGACGAAATGAAAACGAGTGCTAGTCAGATGAATGGTAATCGCAAGGTAAAGTTTTCAGTTTTTTTCTTTCATTTTGGTTGGCAGAGAACTGCATATAAGGCTTTGAAGGGTTGTACGGAATGACAACTCTTTCACTGATCCTTGTATAAGAGTACTGCATGTTGAGGTTATAACCAATGATCTTGTGGGAAGGAATTCACACAACTACGGTGGCAATCGGAATGTTGGTCCACCTTACGGAACGGAATGTCCGTTGTGCTGCCTCAACCATGCTCCACTTTCAACCATGCACTCTGAAACTGTTTATTAATTCCATTTGTGCCATAGGGACATCGAAGATACTTTAAAGACGTTGATATATTTTGGCAGAAAGTTGAGAGACGCTATGCTGAGGTTTTTTATTTAACAAATTTTTTTGATTTGCCTAAACAAATTTGAGCTTTATATGACTTTTTTTTACAACCGCAGTTGAAGGCCTCTACTTCCATAATGCACGATACCACAAAAGTTTTCAAAAATTCTATTATAAATGTCAATTCCTCCATGGAGAATGTTAATAATACAATGGTATAGAATTAAAATTATTTTTTTTGTTTTACATGTCTAGATAATGTAAATTGACATGTTTTATCAGCAAAAATACAGTGAAGAACTTGAGAGAGTCCAGAATGCCTTAGGAAAGAGACAAAATTCTGAAGATTATAAGGAAAATCGAATTTCAAAAAGGCATCAAAACATATTGACTGTACCACCATATGAAGATGAAAGCATTTTCATTGGATCAACTAAGGTAGGAAACAGAGAAGAAAGTAAGTTGTTTTGCATTGTATTTCTTAAACATTTTTCCTACCTATTTATCTGTCCTTATAGGGAGATCTACTTGGACCACAATCTTCTGCAATTGATGATGCAACAGATGAGTATAGTATATCAATGCCACCCACCAAAAAGGTAGCAACACAACCAGCTCTTCAAGACAAAAGCAACATGATAGATAACGCAATGATAGATGACAATAATGGGTTGGACAAGTGGGCAAAGGAAACTCTTCAGCGTAATGGAGAATGGCTTGTTGGCAATAAAAAGGTGAATGTACATGATTTGCTGGTACTGTGGCAGAATGAAAAAAAACGTCCACACAATGAGTAAGTTTTTCCATTATTTTTTTTGTGAGATGTGTTGAATAAATAATACATAGACTTACATGGTTCGGAAATATTAGTCTTGCATGTTACGATATAATTGATATTACACCAGGAACCAACAGTGATTTTGTTAAAAATCGGCCAAAAGATGAACTAGAAGAAATGAAGAAATATGGATCACCAGTACCTGATATTGATAATAGTGATATCAAGGAATTAATCATGAAAATGGTCAAGGTATTTCATGTTTGAGAAATTATTACTTGTTAACATGTCTTTCACTACAGGAATCTGATTACCAAAAGGCTGTAGAGGACAGTTATTTATTGACGAGAAATGATGATAGAAAAAAGTTTATGTGGGACTTTGCATATCATCTGTAAAGATTGCTCCTTGCATTAGAGTATACAATATATAGCTTTCTATGACTGATTTGTTTTCTTTTTTAATAGTGCCAATTCCTTTGACCGCGGAAATGATCTTCTTAATGAAAATTTATCAGAACGAATGTATCGTGAAGTCTTTTTAACACCATTAATGCGAAGCTTATTTCAAAAAACACATAAAGATATGGATGTTTCTTTGTAAGTGACAAACAGCATGCATTCTAGATTTGCTTATCTTTAAAAGGTTATCATCTTAATAAAAATTTTAATCTATTAAGTGGTGAGATATCCTTGTTTGCATCAGCAGAAGATTATGATCTAACAAAAAGTGATGAAGAGGAACGCAGTAGTGGACGAAAAATTGATATTATTTGGACAACGATGCCAAAGCTTGAATTTGCTATTGGTGAAGTTAGTGGTCCTCCTAACCAACGCCAACATCCACACTTTTTTGGAGATAAGCTCAAGATTGCCAAAATGTTAAAAGTAATGTTGAATAGGATAGTGCGAATGTATGGTGGTATTGGTGATAGCTTAAGTTTACTGAAGCTATATGGCTTACAAATTTATAGTAAATATTTTCAGTATGGATGATAGTTTTTATTGCGTCTTTATTCTTTGTTATTAATTCTTAAAATAATTATAGATCATACTGCATTTGTCTACGAAATGACTGTGCCATATAAAGGATTATATCTGTATAGAGAAGTTCTACGTTTCCAATTACCAACAAATCATATTAATGTAGTATTGTTGTGTCGATGTGTGCCAATGTTTCTTCTGTTTAAGGTATGCACCTTTATTTGACCTTTTTTTTTAGTTTCTTTGTATATTAACTAGAATTCATGGACTGTGTACATGTAATGTTTATAGGAAATGCTTAATCAGAGCTTAAATAATTTGAATACTTATATAAAAGAAGCAGGTCTCCGTACACCAACTGAAAACAATGGTGCATACTTATTTGTGACACAGATGTCATATACACCAAAAAAATAATTATGAAGATAACTGTAGCTGTAGCAAAAACTCATTAAAATTTTATTTTAATTATTTTAATTGAATGTATGAAATGAGATTTAATTAAGTCATAAATACTTATATTCTATCTAATAAAACAAATTATTGCAAGCAACTATGAAAACATTGATCAATTAATTTTTCATGTGGTGTGAGAAATTGGAATGATAATCTGCTAATTTTTAGCTCAAGGGTCCAATGGAAAAGATATCAAGAATACTGAACTTCAGTCGAAATATTCAGGCTGATGGAAGATCTTGATTTGGAAGATTAAAGATAAACATAATCTTCAATTTCTGCAATTATGTTGTGAGATAATGGTGTCCGCAGTATTGTTGATATCTCACAATAACGTATAGATGGATTTGTTAAAATCCGCGTCGCTAACAAAGTCGCAATAATTCGGGGGTTTTCTAATCTAATCATTCTATATCTAATCTATTTCTAATTAAATATTCCTATAAATAACTCTAATTGAAAACGTTTTCGTTGCCTCGGATATGCTATTGTCGTTGTGTTAGTAAACTCTTTTACTAATCACTAGTATATTCCCAATGCGTAACGTGCCAGACTACCCACTTATACAGCCAATTTGGAATTCCCTCAAAATACAATATCGGGAGTAGCTAATTCCTCGGTCCCAATAACATATATAATTAATTAACAATTATCATGCATGGTTATTTACTAAGGCGTCCCCTAATAAACAAGGATTTCGGTTTATAGGTAAATGCATTCATGAATTTGTGTTGCAATTTGTATTTTATTTATTTCGTTATTTAAGATTATATCGTTATTATCTTCAAAGATAATGATTCTAATCCTCCTCCTTTAACTTAGTTAAAGTTGGAGTGCTTTTACACATTTTCGAAAGTGTTAATTACATCATCCAAATCCTTGGAAAATACACAAGGATTGTATCTTTGGTTTCTAAAGCTACATGAATTTGGTATATAGAACTTTTCTGATGGAATTTCTGAGAAAGTCTTACATTACATTATAAAAATTTTAGGGTTTTGAGATAATTTATATATATGGATATATAAATGTTCTTATGATTAGTCTTTGTATCCGTGTATAAAATGTTACTAAAAATAATTAAAAAAAAATATAGAAATATGTGTAATACAGTCAAAGCTCGTTACAGTGGAAATGACTTACAGTGAACTTTTTTTCATGTCCCGGTTCATATTATAATAAATTTTGCTCGTTACAGTGAACATCATAATAAAATCTCTTTATTATGTAGAGTGAACATTGAAAATTTTTTTATATTGAACACATAATAATAATAGAAATAAATTTCGTTATAGTGTAAATCACGTGGTATTGATCACATGGTCTTCGTATTATTGGCTAGTTTGCCTTATTTCTAAAATTGGTTAGATCAATATTATAGCTTATGTTAATAATGTCTTTAACTATATTAACATTTACACTAAAAATTCCTATTTTTACCAACATTACACTTTTCAGAGCAATAATTGCATTATTGAATGATCATAATTACATTTGCATAAAGGAGAATTTTCCTTTTAGTGATAATCAGTAAAAAAAAAAATCAATATTGTAATAAGATTTTTGCCCTCTTCCAAATATTTCTGCTTTTTGTTGGGCAATAGAATAGTTTCATTCTGCTTTCTTTTCTTAATGTTTATTATTTTCTTTTCCTCTTGGTAAATTTCATAGGTAATCCTTTCTTTGTCTAAATATGTTTGCAAAGATTTGGTATCTGCTAATTTAAAAATGTAAGGAGCAATTTTCACCTTGTTCCTTTTTCAAAATACTTCTAATAGTGCTGTAATTCTTGGGTTCCATAGTAGATCTGATGTAAATTAACTTCATATTAACTATTTTTATATAGGAGTAATTCTATATATCACTTAATATTAAACAAATGGGAAATTTTAATAATCACATTACAAATTTTGAACCCTGAAATTCTTGGTAATACCAATGTTCACTTTGTCTGGTTTTGTTGCAGTCTGCCCCATATAATAATTTTTTAAAATGATTTTTATTATTATTCTTAAAAAATAATCAAACTATCATTCCTTTAGAACAATTTTGATATTGTTCTTAAAGAATAATCAAATTATCATTCCTTTTAAATGATTTTCTATATCATTCGTATAAAATAATCAAATTTATCATTTCTTTTAAATGATTTTCTATATTATTTTTAAGAAACAATCAAATTATCATTTCTTTCAAATGCTTTTCTATTTCATTCTTAAGAAATAATCAAATTATCATTTCTTTTGAACAATTTTTGATATTATTCTTAAAAAACAATTAAATTATCATTTCTTTTAAACAATTTTTGATATTGTTTTTAAGGAATAATCAAATTATCATTCCTTTTAAAGGTTTTCTATATTGTTCTAATCAGATAATGCAAAATCATTTATTTAGAGTATTTATGATAAATAATAAATAATATCTAAATTTTGAATTAATCAAAATTCTAAAATTTAGTTCAATTTACAATATAAAACTAATAAACTTTAGAATATTCTGAATATATATATATATATATTAAAGATGGTACAGCAATTGATTTCAAATTTACAAAATGTTGCAACATAAGCTAAAATTAGTTGCAACATATGT